CGCGATGAAATTGAGGCACGGATCGTATATTCTGACATAAAAGTGACAGACAACGCGAAATTTTAAGAAACAGTTAACAATAACACATTGGTCACAAGACACCCTTACCTGAAGATTCAGTTTAAATTTCAACATTTGCATTCGTATTCGCAATGGGGAATATCTGAAAACTGACATTCGTTACACCACTAGAACTTTGCTAAAACTAAAAACATTTTTTTATAATTGTCATAGTGTAAATATGTGTGGTTATCAATGTATGACCCGTGCTGCTACCGGTAAACTTGGGAACCCTAGAGAAAGGGTGATGTTTGCATTTTGCAAATCTAGAAGTATCTATTAGGTGATTAAAAATCCAAATTATTGCGATCGAAGCATTTTTCACAAAAAACACTTAACTTATAGCCGCTCACGTGCGGTCTACGATACCCCATTGATATAAGATAAAGAATGTACACGTCGTATGGTAAAAAAATTTCATTATTGCAGGAACGAAGAGTGGTTACAAGTATTGAACAAAATCTGTCTGTGCCTCGATATAATTCTAATCTTTATAGGAAAAATAACAGAGCTGTATCGAAAAAAAAGAAGTAAAAAGCAAATATTTCTTAATGGGCTTGCTTGCCATACAATCCAATTTGTTGGAATAATGGGCTTGTACTACATGTTACCAACAGGATTCCATAACTTATATTATGTGTTACAATTTGGCAACGCAGCACATCTGGATACTACGAAGCTAGATACCTTTTGGAAAAAGCATGACGGAGCGTTTTAGTCAGTTGGCAATATAAGCTTGTGCGGCAGTGTTCTGTTATTGCCAAAACTATACCGTAGCGGTCTCAGCGACCTCACCTTAGTGAACGTGTACCGGAGATAAAAATTAACATCATGAGCAGTTTCCCTGATCGTATGCATCCTAATGATCCAAGATTTGAAGAGTGGGCGAGAAGTTTAATGGTTAAAGATGACGAAGATATTAGATTCACTGAAAGTGATATAGAACTGGAAGATTGTGACATAACAGAGGAGATACATGAAGAAGATTCCGATGCAGACTACATACCAGACGAAAATTGATTGGAGGAAAGAAATCAGATGGAAGATTTTTCTGTTGAAAAAGAGAGGTTCTATATTGGTGAAAATAAGTTCAAATGGTAAGAAAGTTCAGAATCTGTAACTACTAAAACATTTGTGATGGTAATACTGAGGTGTGTGCTTTATCGTTGTTTTCTTTTCAGGCATAAAGACCAGCCTCCAGTCAATGTAAGGACTAGAAAACATAACATTGTACTCACTCTACCTGGACTACGACCAAAAGCTAAACAGCTTGGCGCTAATCCGGAGATTGAAGACATCTGGCTTCTTCTATTTTCTGAAGATATGATAGCGGAAATAGTTCAGTGGACAAATGTGAAGATCATTGATGCAAGAAAGACCAAGCAAGTCCGATATTATCCACCAACGATGAAATAGAAGATGAAGGGTTTTTTAGGTATGCTAATATTTACCTCAGTTTTCAAATCAGGAAATGAGAGCATCTAGTCCTTGTTTGCACAGATGGCGCAGGAAGATACGTTTTTCGATGTACCATGGCGAAAAGACGTTTTGAGTTCCTACTTACTGTTCTTAGATTTGACGTTGCAACTCTACGGAATGAAAGACAAATTGAGGGCGATTCTGTGCCTAACATATCAAAAATATTCAATAAATTCATTGATAATTCCCAGAATGCCTTCTCTATTGGCACAAATGCTAGCATTCAGGGGCAGTTGTAAATTTAAAATATATATGCCGAAAAAACCGGCTCGTTATGGAATCAAAATAATGTGCCTGACAGATGCCCGAAATAATTACCTTCATAATGCCTATATTTACGCTGGAAAAGGATCAGATTCACTAACATTATCTGCAAATAAAAGAAAATTGAAAATCCCAACACAGTCTGTTATCAGGCTAGTGGGGCCAATTCAAAAACCAATAGAAATGTTACAGCTGATAATTGGTTTAGCTCTGTGGAATTGGTTCAAGAACTCCAAAACAGGGGTCTAACCTATGTAGGTACGCTAAAAAAGAATCAAGCTGCAATTCGACCAAGCTTTCAAGCTAACAAAAATCGAAAACTCAACAGCAGCCTCTACGGATACAATAATGATATGACTTTACTTTCTTTTGTACCAAAATCTTCAAAATCAGTTATTCTGATTTCATCTATGCATCATTGTGAATCAACTGATCAAGAAACTGGTAAGCCAGAAATAATAGCAGATTGAAATTCGACAAAAGGTGGCGTAGGACACGAAGATGGCCCTATGGCAATATTTTTCATGCTTGTTGACGTAAGTACAATAAATGCTTATGTTTTGTACTCAAGCTACAAAGATACTCCAAAACTGGAAAGGGCAGATTTTCGAAAGAATTTAGTCTGGTATTGCCACAATGGAGAGTTAGAATGGCAAACTCAAAACTGCAGACAGAGAATTGCGAGTGACAATTGAAAACTTATGTGGAAGCACTGACCATTCTGCTCATAGCAGTGAAGTCCTAGAAGATCGCTGGGAAAAAAGAGCAACATGTTACAGATGTTCACCAAAGTTGAAAAGGAAAACTCAATACGGATGCGCATCATGCAAGAAACCCATATGCTTGCAATGTTCCAAGAAGATGTGCATTGAATGCGTGTTAGATAGGAAGTAACTTGAAAATTGCCAGAAAAGCATTTTTGTGTTGTTTTTTATGTTTATGTTATCGCTTAGTCTAACTGAAACTTAATTACATTGTTTTTTGAGCATTTACAAATAAATATTTTTAATAAAAACGTTGTATCATTCATAAAAAATAACAAAAAGCGGTAGCGGTATCTAGACCGCACGTTAGCGGTTAAAGGTTAATGATTATAGAAGTTTACCCACTTTTTAACGTAACCTCAGCACGCAGACGCGAGTTTTTTAGAACATTTGTCACTTGTATTAATGCACGTTCTTGTAACTACACGATACCCCAGTCACTGGCAGTAACAGACAAGTACACAATGAATTATTGTAATATGTGTAAAAAAAAATCCAACTCCCTAACTGATGTGAAAAAAGATATTATGTTTTTTTGGATATTGTTTGACATATGTATCACGAAAAACCATGTGACTCATTCACCCCAACCCGCGCCCCATCACCCGGGGTGCGGGTTGGGAGAGGGTATAAGCTGTTAGCCACGCTAACGAAATTTAAACGCCTACTATAATGTACTCCATCCTTCCAAGATTTTTCCGAAATTTGATAGGTCATTCATCTTACAGCTTTGGTGTATACTAGAAAATTTTGCTTACTGATACATACACCATGCACAGTGCAAAGGAAACTCTTAACTTTAAGGACACCGTGTACGTTAGTACCCCAATTAAATAATTATCCACCGATCACGAGAGCGAGACTCGCTAATTCTCGGTTTAGCACCTAATAATTAGCTTTATTCGCTAAAGGAAGAATGACTAGAAAATAAGGTTTTATTAATATGATGAATGTATCACGATGCGTTATTAAGCTTTCGTAGATGCGACTAGTCATTTTGAGATCAAGTTTGATGTGGATGTATAATAAATGTAGGGCATTTTTTGTTATTATACACATGTATTCTGTCCGAGGTTTTATAGTTATAATTTGTATCACGGGTGCAATTAAAAGTTGATCTATGTCAAATTCGAAAAGTTATCGACCAATAATAGCCCACTTCTCAAACATCATATAAACCTAGTATCAGGATTATGGAACTTTAATCTCTCACCCTCGTTGCATGCAATACTACCATACAGGAAATAACTGTAAGAGCCACTCAAGTGTGGAAAACTTGTTTGGTCATCTGTTTTATTTCACTTTTTTTTTTTTGCTGTCATTTTGTCTATAGTTTTGAGTTTTGTTGAAAGTCCCTATATGTTTTGTGATATCAACAGGGCCTCGTACTGTGTCACTTCTATTACAGTATTTTTTGACACTTCTGACGCTTAACAATCTTCATTCATTTTTTCAAGCTAGTATCGATTGCCTTAGACATGGGTACAAAGTAGAATAATACAGGGTGGCGCATCGAAAACGAAACAGACGCATTTACTGGCAGCTCAGTTTTTTTTTTTGAAAAAACGCTCAGACCCGTCGATTTTGTTTTCGAGGGGGACACAAGTTTGGCAAAAAATTACGCTAACACGTGCAGCCCCCTGGGCGGGGGTGACACCAACCCTAAAATCTTAAATGGAAAGGGGGGTCGAGTGATACCTTATTTTAAAGGTCTTTCAATTCCCTTTATAGTGATATAAAATCAATGTACTTGAGTCTGAGCGTTTTTCGAAAAAAAAACTGAGCTGCCAGTAAATGCGTCTGTTTCGTTTTAGATGCGCCACCCTGTATATGTCTTTTCGCCGTTTTTAGTGGGTCACAGTTTATCTGTGTATGGAAATTTATTTTGCGATGTAGTTAGAAGTACAAATCAGCGCCTAGATGTGAAGTACTACGAAAATGTTTTGTGTGAGATGCGTCATTCCTAAGGTTTCTTTGATGTGGCTTAATTACATACAATGCGGGCACGATGGTCATTCCCCATAATGCTTCTCAAACTATTCGATAACGCAAGGAAACCTCTTCAGAAACGACAACACAAATAACCCGTCTGGTACAGCTAAAAGATACTACTACTCTTCTACACAACCAAATCTCATTATCACATCTTAGATATATGTATATATATAGACCATCTCGGCACTTACAGCTGATCATTGAGACTTTAGAAGACTGATCTTTCTGCACACAAGGAACTTTTTAGTCAGCAAGCTGCTAGCTCTCTTTTACCGATATGCCATCGCGCGCAGTTCGCGCGTTGAGGCTGTTGGACGAATCCACCCTGTCAGTCACTGTGACGTTACGTCAGTCATTAAAACATTACAATGACTGTCAGAAAAAATCGGAACCACCCATCCGCATTCCAAATTTCCGTATCATATAATACCATTCTTCATGAGCACTGTTGCAGAAGGTGATGGCGAAGAGCAAACGATTAGTGAATCATTCCCAGACCAAAATTCTATTGAATCGATAGAGAAACAAATCAAAATTCGAGAACTAGTTAGCAACGAGGGATGCTTTGACTCACCCATCAACATAAGTCTTACGTATTCGACTCCCATGACTCTATCTCCGTTGAAATGGGTGAACTTCGAAGTGCCTCCCAAGAAGATGAAGTTGACGAACACAGGACATACAGTGATCTTCAGTGCAAAGTGGGGTCAAGAACGTCCATACATAATGGATGGCCCTTTCGTTGGAAGATACGTATTTTCCAGCTGGCATCTCCATTGGGGTATCAGCCCCTTGGAGGGCTCCGAACATGCCGTGGATGGAGTAAAATACCCTGCAGAGATGCACGTCATTCTTTTCAAGAGCTCTTATCTAACCCAAGAAGCGGCGCTTAAGGAGCAAGACGGATGTGCGGCTTTGGTGTATTTCTTCAAGCTTCAGGACACGCCGAATCCTTGTTTTCAAGACATAATCATGACCTTAAAAGATATCCACGACCCGGGAACATCGAGAAAAATTTCACCGTCACCCATAACAAGTATTGTTAGAAAATTCACCAACGACTATTTCTTGTACTGGGGTGCTATCAGTACGGCGCGATGTCGCCATTATTTGATGTGGTTGATTAACAGGGTACCAATAGGAGTTTCAGAGGCTCAAATCGACGCTTTCCGATATCTCACGGACGAAGAAGGCCACCACATTACAAGGAACTTCAGGGAGCTCCAAGACACAAAAGACAGAACTGTATTACATATCAATCCTTCAACGTCCAGGTATGCAACTCTTCTGTCCATTCCAGAAGATAACAATTATTTTACCTACTGATATAAAGTACAATACACTTTCAGTCCAAGACGCTGCATTTATTTCAGGAGATGTGAGGTTTGTCTATGTATTGCGGATTACAGAAGAAAGGTGGTGGTTTTTGAGCATTAGTAGACCTATTGTGACCCCATATATACCTTATAAAGCACTGTGTCCAGCCTTGATAGCCTTGACACAGCGCCTTGCGTGTAGCTTTCCGCTGTTGCACCTGTGGTTCCTACTATGTGAAACTGTTGCCTTGTCAGGCCTCCGCAGTGACATAGGAGATGCACTGGGTTCTTTCTGCATGTGTTTTCTTCTGCCAGGAGACCCACTATGGCCTTCCTATCGAATCCGCCGTAAATGTGGGCCTTCGTTCTTTGATGAACTGCTTTACCTGCATTTGAATTGGCTGCTACACCATTCTAGGAACTTTTTCTTGGTGCAATTTTTTATGGACTGTGTAGTACGTGTTCTCGTCACGCCACAAAAAGGCTTTGGATCCATCAGGCTATTGGTCGGACTAGCTCATCTGCCTTTTCATTTCCTTTGTGCCACGTGGAGGAGGAGTTGGTGTTTATTTAAGGGATTCACTGAGAGGTAAGCTGGTATTGCAAGATTTTTTATGTCCAGATGGTATGGAGCAGGTTTATGCTGAAATAGTGTTGAATAATCTAAAAATTTTGGTTTGTGTTATCTACAGAGCTCCTTCGAGCAGATTATCAAGTTTTATTGATCATATAGACAACTTTCTCTCATTTGTGTCTCCTCAGTATGATAATATATGCTTGCTGGGTGATATAAACGTTGATCAACTTACTGACCATTCTTTTCTAGATTGCATTGCGTGCTACGATATGGTATCTCACATCACCCAACCAGCTAGGATAACTTTAACCACGGCAACCTCCATAGATGTCATTTGTACAACAAATAACTTAGCTGAATCATTAATTTCAACTAGCTCTGTACCTGTTCCAAATTTGTCAGATCATAATGTAGTCAGATGTGACTTCAACATCACACGGCCTAAGAATTTTCAAAAGACTGTCAAATATAGAGACTTTAAACACTGTTTTTGGTGGATTTGTATAAAATCCCATGGGACGATATATATTACATCAGTAACTTAGAGGATAAAGCTACGTTTTTTTCTAATCATATTGTGGATTTGTTTGATGTCCATGCTCCTCTTGTTTCATCACGTATTACTAAACCTTATGCTCCATGGCTCACAGGTGGCATAAAATTTTTGATCTCCGAGAGAAATAAAGCCTTTAGAAAATATCAGATTTTAAAAAGTCCAGCTAGTCTCGAATATTACCAGAAATTAAGAAATGATGTCATTTCCGCTATTAGGCGGGAGAAAGCAGCATATCTAAGCTTCAACGAACATCTAAATAGTAACAAGCATCTCTGGAAAGCTGTACATTCATTGAAACTCAAAACTAATGTAGATAGATCTTTACCTACACAGTTGAAGAATGCCGATGAAGTAAACAATTATTTTTCTACCGTTTTCACGCCTTCGGGCAATTGCAAGGATCTAGTTGATAAATTTAATAGTACCAAAATTAATGAAAGTGCTAGATTTGAATTTAGTTTTGCTACCCCACAAAATGTGCTAGACATTATTCTGTCCCTAAAATCTAATCGGATGGTATAACAGTCTCAATGCTGAAGCTTTGCTTGCCTCGAGTATTACTACCCCTGTCGCATTTATTGAACTGTTGCCTGGAGGCTGGGTATTTCCCTGATGCTTGGAAACTATCTCTTGTCAAGCCCTTGCCTAAATGTAAAAATCCAAAATGTCTCTCAGACTTAAGACCTATAACTTTGATTCCTGTTATATCGAAGATATTGGAGAAATTGATTAAACATCAGGTTTATCATTATTTCTCTAATAATGATTTCTTTCCCAAGTGTCAATCTGGTTTCCGCAGTGGTTTTAGTACAACTTCAGCTTTAGCAAGGGTTTAAGATGACATCATTGCTTCGCTTGATAAGGGAGATGCTTCAGCACTTGTATCATTAGATTATTCTAAGGCGTTCGATAAAATAGATCATGAGCTTTTATGTGCTAAATTGAAGTTTTTTGGTTTTTCAGACATACCTCTAATGTTTTTTATAACATATCTTTCAAATCGTAAACAAGTAGTAGAGATAGACAACACTATATCTAGTCCGATTGATATAACATCAGGTGTCCCTCAGGGTTCAGTTTTAAGGCCCTTGTTGTACTTAATTTATACTATAGACTTGGGTAGCTCTGTGAAAAACTCTTCTGTGATGTGCTATGCCGATGATACACAGATATATAAGAGCTTTAATAGTAACAATTTGCATACTTCAATCAATGAACTTAATGATGATTTGGAGGCAATAGTAGGATACTCAAATGGTAACAATCTTAAGCTCTATAAGGATAAGTGCTCAGTGATGCTTTTTTGTCCTGCTGTCAAACGTAACACTATATTGTATTCTCTTGATGTAAAAATTGACAAGGAGCGTCTAGCTGTCGTAAATACTACAAAAAATTCAGGGTTGAGTATTGATTATACTTTACGGTTTAAGCAGCATGTTTCGTCTATCTTAAAAAGATGTTATGCAAATTTGAAGTGTTTTTATGTCAATCGCTCTATTTTGAATTTTAAAGTTAGAAAAAAGTTATGTGAGGCTATTATATTTCCCAGCTTGTTTTACTGTAACACTGTCTTCTATCACTGTCTTGATTCTATCACAAAAGCAAGACTCCAAAAACTCCAAAATACTTGTTGTCGATTTGTATTTAATCTCATGAAGTATGATCATGTTTCCTTAAATAGATTTCAGCTTTGTTGGATGTGTATAGAAAATGCTTGCAAGTACCATATAGCAGTGTTTACACATAAGATCATATCTTCTAGATCCCCCTTGTATCTTTATGAGAAATTTGTTTTCAGACGAAATAATTCAGACATTGATTTCAGACACAAAAAAAGACTAGAGGTCCCTATGTATAAAACAACTTTATTTCGTAGTTCATACACTTACAACGCTATCCTGATTTATAACGAATTAGATGACAATATAAAGGATTGGCCAGTAAACAGATTTCGTAAGCATGTGAAACAGATTTATTTGTCATTGTAGTAATTGTGGAAAAGTTAGTTTTTAATTCTTACATTTTATTTTATTTTACGTAATATATGTGTGTATATATGTATGCTAAGTTTTTTGGTTTTTCAGACATACCTCTAATGTTTTTTATAACATATCTTTCAAATCGTAAACAAGTAGTAGAGATAGACAACACTATATCTAGTCCGATTGATATAACATCAGGTGTCCCTCAGGGTTCAGTTTTAGGGCCCTTGTTGTACTTAATTTATACTATAGACTTGGGTAGCTCTGTGAAAAACTCTTCTGTGATGTGCTATGCCGATGATACACAGATATATAAGAGCTTTAATAGTAACAATTTGCATACTTCAATCAATGAACTTAATGATGATTTGGAGGCAATAGTAGGATACTCAAATGGTAACAATCTTAAGCTCTATAAGGATAAGTGCTCAGTGATGCTTTTTTGTCCTGCTGTCAAACGTAACACTATATTGTATTCTCTTGATGTAAAAATTGACAAGGAGCGTCTAGCTGTCGTAAATACTACAAAAAATTTAGGGTTGATTATTGATTATACTTTACGGTTTAAGCAGCATGTTTCGTCTATCTTAAAAAGATGTTATGCAAATTTGAAGTGTTTTTATGTCAATCGCTCTATTTTGAATTTTAAAGTTAGAAAAAAGTTATGTGAGGCTATTATATTTCCCAGCTTGTTTTACTGTAACACTGTGTTCTATCACTGTCTTGATTCTATCACAAAAGCAAGACTCCAAAAACTCCAAAATACTTGTTGTCGATTTGTATTTAATCTCATGAAGTATGATCATGTTTCCTTAAGTAGATTTCAGCTTTGTTGGATGTGTATAGAAAATGCTTGCAAGTACCATATAGCAGTGTTTACACATAAGATCATATCTTCTAGATCCCCCTTGTATCTTTATGAGAAATTTGTTTTCAGACGAAATAATTCAGACATTGATTTCAGACACAAAAAAAGACTAGAGGTCCCTATGTATAAAACAACTTTATTTCGTAGTTCATACACTTACAACGCTATCCTGATGTATAACGAATTAGATGACAATATAAAGGATTGGCCAGTAAACAGATTTCGTAAGCATGTGAAACAGATTTATTTGTCATTGTAGTAATTGTGGAAAAGTTAGTTTTTAATTCTTACATTTTATTTTATTTTACGTAATATATGTGTGTATATATGTATGCTAGGAAGCTATCAAGCTCGTTGTTTTGAAGCGTCTTTTGCTTGTCAAAGTTTCCTTTGATTGAGTGTTTCAATTTAGTATTTGGGTAGGTTAAGTAGAGTAGCCAAGAGCTAGACTTCGCCTACGTAGAGGTCACATTATGTTGTAGTGTATATAATGTGCCTAATAAAGACATTTTATTATTATTATTATTATTATTATTATTTATGTACTGGTACCCAGAGCAATGATACCTGGTTTCGGTTTCAGATACTAGTTTGGATGATATTTGAGGAATATGTGGCTCAATGAGTTCCAAATGGAGTGTACTATCACCCCTTAAAGGGCTGACATCTGTATTTCAAACGCCCTGTATAAGTGTATCGTAAAATAGGATCCGATACACCCACACAGCGGAATGTCATCATCGATTCTCTATTCGTGTTGTCAGCTTGAACAGTAAAACCAGCCCCTTCAAGCTTTTACGATCTTTTTGGTGGGCGAGGAAATCAGTATTAGATATATCAGGTGGAACCAGATCAATACAAGTCACTGATTACACGAAACTATCACAAAGTAACCTTTTTATCCGCGAACTTCATACTGCCATACTTAGGTAAAAAGGCAATGAAGTCCAAGAAAATTTAAATTTTTGAACTAAGTAAGTATTGAAATACAGACAAGTGAATAAATGTTGGAAAGTTATTAACTATAAAAGCAAAAAGTTCAATGCTATAACGTTTGTTCAGTGTTCCACCTATACGAGGGATGTCTTTTAAGTTTTGCATATGGAAATAAAACAACACGGTAGGTAGTTTTAAATGACTTTATTGTTTTTCGAAGTATTCTCCACGAAGATTAATACACATAAGCGTGCGCTCGAACCAATTTTCTAAGCACTTATTCCATTCGTTTGCTGGCAGATCCAAAACGGCATTTTTGAATGCGTCAACTGCTTCTGGTGACTGGAATCTTAGACCACGCAGTCCTGTTTTTAATTTTCGGGAAAGTAAAGAAATCGTTAGGACTATATGGAGGATGGTCCAATAGTTCCACGTTTTCTTCCGTCAAATACTGCCTTGTTTTTCTGGCTGTGCCCGAGCTTGCATTGTCTAGGTCATTGATTCCCAAAGTGGTCTATATCGACCACTAGGGCTCTATGACAACCTGCAAGGGGTCTTCGTCAGCGAAAAAAAATTTGGGGGTCCATGAAATGAATATGGGGGTCCATGATAGTGGATCCCAACACATACACTGATAGTACCTATTTACTTATATCATACTATCTTATAATATCAAAACATATATTTATAAAAGTACCTATGAAGTAAAAAATTTATTATATATGTTTATAAAATTGTGTAAGTTGTAGGATGTTGGTATTCGCTTTGTGGTCGCGATACATTTTGAACTTGTAAAAACCTGAGAGTCGCAGTCTCAGAGCTTCGCTACCTTGCACTGACTTGTTCAATTCGTCACTCTATAAATACGAATGTGGGACAAATACGTTTATTCGTTTCCTGAATCTTGAAAAGGATAGTGCTAAGAAAATATTTTAAAAAATATAAACAGATAGTATACCACACAGATTATAGTGAATCAGTGTTATTTTGTTTGAGAGTGCTGGAGAAAAGTAAGTACATTATTTTTTATTAAATTTTAGTTTTGTACTCGTAGTTAGCAAAGATAGATTAATTACGCCAATCATGACTTTAGTTATTAGTAATTAAATATTCAATCATCCAAATTATACGAGTACTCCTCAATAGTTTCTTTTTGAAAGTTTTAGCAATCGGTAATATAATAATTACAGTGCAATCTCCGTAATTCGAGCTAATTGTTGCAAGAAGATGTTCGAATTATGGAATGTTTTCGGAAAAATCAAAAAATATTTTTAATACACAGATGCTGGATTTTCTGTCTTATTTAAATAATTTAATTTTGCCCACAGATCACTGATGCCATGTCCGAATCTAAAAAGAAATGTAGACAGTACAGTGTTGATTATTTGAAATTTGGCTTCATTCCATCATTGCCGGACAAACAATCGCCTATGTGCCTTTTATGCAACAAAGTTTTGGGCAATGACGCTATGAAGCCATCTAAACTGCAAGATCATCTGAGAAGATGTCACCCTGATGAAACAGAGTAAGATTTGAAATACTTTCAAACACTCAAAGATAAATTTCAGAAGAGACCTACACTGGACAGAATGTTCGCTTCGACGCGAAGTCACAAAGAAATGATGATGGTTTGCGGGCGTCTTACAATATATCTCGTTACTTATAGCAAAATCCAGAATACCGCATACTATCGGAGAGAAGTTAATTTTGCCAGCCGTTGAAGAGGTTTTAAAAACTGTTTTACACAAATCATTAAAAGAATTCCCTTAAGCAACAATACTGTTAAAAGACGTATTGATGAAATGAGTTCTGATATTGAAAGCTTCTTATGTAATTATTTGCAAACGACCCATTTCTCCATATAACTGGACGAGTCAATTTTACCTGATAATGCAGCATTATTATTGGCATATGTTCGTTTTACTATGAATCAAAAAATCTACGAAGAACTGCTCTTCGCAAGAACTTTGATAACCGACACTAAAGGTGAATCAATATTTCATGTTTTGAAGGATTACTTCATTGAAAAAGCAATTCCTTTATCAAATATAATATCACTAAATACAGATGGAGCACCTGCCATGGTTGGACGTTATCGTGGATTAATAAGCTATTTAAAACAAAATGTGTCAGGGGTGTTAGCAATACATTGCGTCATCCATCGACAACATTTAGTTGCTGAAAATTTGAGTGTTAGATTGCATGAATCACTTCATTTAGTCATTGATGCAGTAAACCGAATCCGAAGCAACGCGTTGAATACGCGGTTATTTGCGCAGTTGTGTGAAGAAAATGACGAACACTTTCATCAATTACTCCTTCACACTGAAGTACGCTGGCTGTCGAAAGGCTTATGTTTGACAAGATTTTTTGCACTTTTTGAAACTATTTTAGAATTTCTGGATACTAAAGATAAAATTTTAAAAGAAAATTTAATGAAGAGGAAAACAGACATCGCCTATTTAACAGATTTGTTTACAAAATTTAATATGGTTAATTTGCAATTACAAGGCGACAGTTCAAATTTGATTAAAACAAAGTCCATCTTTTCAGCGTTTCTTGCCAGAGTTAAACTAATGAAGCAAAATATTGGGCGGGGCGAATTTTCTCAGTTCCCCAATTTGTCACAGACAAGCTGCCAGGAAGACGACGTTTCAACTTACGTTCAACATTTAAATGCCCTCTATTCAGATTTTGAATCTAGGTTTGAGGATATTTTGACTACGGTAATACCACCGTGGATAAGTAATCCATATGCTGACATAGAAGAAACGAATGTCATAATACAAGAGAAACTGACTGAACTAAGTACAAACGAAGAACTTAAGGTTAGGTTAAAAACGGATATCAGCAATTCTGGCTGCAAAACAACATACCCGTTACTTATCCCGTATTATGGAATATAGCGAGGAAATTTTTAATTTCCTTTCCATCGTCATACCTAGTGGAAAGGGGGTTCAGCGCTGTTACCAATCTCCTAACGAAAAAAAGAAACAGACTGGACATCATTAGCCGAGGAGATTTAAGATTAACCGTTACAAAATTGAGCCAAATGTTGATAATTTATTATTAAAGCATCAGGTTCATCCTTCTCACTAAAAATATTGACTTATTGCTTATGATATTTTATTTATAGTTTATTTTATGTTTATTAGTGTCTGATCAATAAATGCCCGCATTGGGAATAAGTGCCCGCATTGATTTTTATAGAAAATATTTTTTTTAATTATTCTGAAAATTCAAGGATAGGTACACACTAAAATTCGTTAATTTTTTGCCTATTTTTAGATAACTTAAACGTATAAGAAGCGGAATTTAATTAAACTAACAGTGAAATTATTGTAGAACATACGTTTATGTTATAATTATTAATAAACGAACTCGCTTATTGTACTATTTTAAGTAAAAAACTTTTTTTTATTATTTTTCACTTTTTTTTATTTTATCCCTCTTATTTTTTTTTTCAATGCGGGCACTTATTTCCAATGCGGGCACTTATTGGTCAGACTGTTTATTTAATGTTACGTATATTTTACACAACAGATACAAAATTTTATTTTGAGTAGTTTTAATTTAAATTCAATTATTAAATGTATAAATCAACATGTGTTTTTACTTTAAGTTTTTAACACTAAACTTCACTACAGTTAGAAATTCACAGGAAATCAATATCAGGTAAGTAGGGTGTCTACCCAACACGGAAAAACATGGCAAGGGGTCTACGACACAAACAAGTTTGGAGAACTCTGATATGGAGGATGGTAAGGATGGCAAGCAAAGCAAGTCACTTCTGTATAGAAGGAAAAGCACGGGACCCAAGACTGAGCCTTGGGGAACTCCGCTTGCTACACGATGGAGGGATGAAAAGAAGTTCGGGACTTGATCAAAAGCCATAGAGCAGTCTAGGTGGATTGAGTGTTTGTGTCCAGCGACTGTGCCCAATTGTTAAAACAATGGAGAAGGTTGATGGTTATCGATCGTCCAGGGATAAGTCCGTGAGGGTTGTTAGGGATGACATTTTTGAAAGAAAATGTCAAGAGATTATCTAATATGATTAATTCAGTTATTTTGGTATGACTTTAAGGAGTCATTTAGAGGTGATTACGGATCATAATAAATGTATAATCTTATTTAACTTTAATATAATTTATTCATATTGAAGTTCTCACAACTATCACAAAAGTAAATCTTTTCAACTTCAGTTTAATAATTATATCAATAAACTAAAAACAGCATGTTTTCTTAAGTGTCAATCTAAAGGAGGAATATTCAAAAATCATTATTTCAGATCAAAATTAATTGTTTCCACAACGATATCTGTTCTTGATATAATTTTATCTTTCTCTGAAGAACTCACCGTATTATTTGGGTGTACGTTTTGTCTAGAAATCTCGTACCGTCTCAGCTTGAACCACGAAAAGCGGTAGATAACATTTTTAACCAACCGGTTAGTTTCCATTGACTAGTTAGCTCATAATAAATATCTAGTGTAATTTCTCCAAATGTCATATCAGTAATTCTACGTACATACAGTAAAGGCATAAATCTATTAATAAACATGTCATACGTCAAATTTCAATCATGCCATCAAGCGAGAGACAGCATTATGACAACGTGAAAAAAATCTAAACATAGTGATTGCTGTAGGTAAAACGATTGTGTTTGTTTTAATATGTAGGTGAGTGGATAATTTAAATGGTAAATATGAAACACCTGCCACCTGCGCTTACACTTTGTCGGCTGGCCCGATGATGTTATGCTCTATTGTCTTCTGTGTTTTGATAGTTCCTGGAACTACGACCTGTGAATGAGCTGGGAGTGTGAGCAGATTCCTAGAAATTCACTATTTGTATTGTATGTATATAGTTTAAAAAATTCAACCTGGACGGCTAATATACAAATGATATCTAATGTAATTGAAGCTGTCTACAGGGGTGCATTGGTAAGTCACTTGGAAACGTAATACCGTACACAGAACGCCTAAGTTATTACAGGGTCATGTAATGACATTTCTTGACACTTGACTGATTTTTAACGACGTCTTCTACAACCATTGTATTTATTATAAAAAACGCTATACGGATACCAGGCAACAAATTTATCGTAAAAAATGTTATATTCTGTCAATTTTCAGCACTTTTCGTATACCGTTGCCCCTTAGCTATTTAAGGATATAGCACCGTCTACTGGTTCGGTTTCTTCCACTCTCCTTTCGGTGTATTTACGCGTAAGCACCCAGGCCTGAATTATGAGCTTATTTTAATGGATATACCTACAAGCTGCAGACTAGTATTGTTCGGCGCGCATAAATCTGGCTGGTCTGGTGGTTGTAGCAGCAACTGCAATACCCTCTTGGTGTATCGCTAGCCATAATTAATCCCCCGACTCGACGCGTTATATCGTTCTGGTATAATTAGCGGGCATGTAACTGCGCAGCGAATTCACAGAGGGTGCTCGTAGGGAAATACGGTATTCTTACGCTCCCTTTTTATAATTTCCGAACCATGACACTGCCGATATTTAGCAGGAAGCACAGGTCAGCATCTGAAACTGCGAACCAAAAAAGACTGAATTCGTAGACAGTGTCGTGGAAACTCGGTAGGTTCAAGGACAAAACCGGTAGACGCTAGACCCTCAGATGATCAGCGCTGGAACAAGAAAATTTTCCTTTGGAAAAAAAACTATACTTTTTTGATGGCCCCTGCCCCTGAAAAAATATTTAGTTCTTTATTACAACTTGTACAATGAGTATATCAGTCGCGCTTCGAATTCCATTGCAATCATTCAATCATTATTGAAACTTCTTTTGCCATTTTTGTTTACAGGATTATGAATATTTTTCTGTTTTACCTCTGGAGTACAAAAACTAATATAGGCAAAGCAGGAGATGTGCGTACATAATTGCAGGCCTAACAGCCTAAATGTACGCTAGAAACTACATAGAATTGATTTTTTGGGTTTATATTTGGTTCCAGCTCTTTATCGGTAAAAATTCTGAAAATATATGATTTATTAAAAAACCAAACATGAAATGAGGTCGTTTTAGGTATTTCGTTAAATTCATTTTGGTAGAAATACTGAAAAATCGGTAGGTGTTGCAACACTGACCGCAAATACTCAACAGATATGCGATGAATTTGTACAATTCTTTACTGACATAGGCGAAAATTTAGCAAGTAATATACAAGCAAATGTACAAAATACTCAGCCTCCAAAAAGAACTTTGAACTCATTTATTTTGGATAAAGTCGAGCAATGTGAAGTATACACCACTGTTATGTCCTTAAAAAATCGGAAAAGTCCTGGGTTCGATGGTATTTAAAGCGAGCATTTGAAAATTATAGCTGAGGACATAACAGAACCACTCACTTACCTAATCAACAAATCCTTTGAATCTGGCATATATCCCTCAATTTTAAAAAAAGGTAATATAATACCGATACATAGATCAGGAACAAAAACAGATGTTAACAACTATAGACCAATATCAATAATATCCAGTGTAGCAAAGGTTTTTGAAAAAGTTTTATCTACTAGAATGATTCGATACCTCACAAAATTCAAAATTTTAAGTGAAAATGAATATGGATTTACAGAAGGGAAGGCTACATCGGATGCAATAACTAAAATTGTAAATCAAATACATCAAAATATTGATAACAGAATCCCTTCAATCTGCATTTTTGTTGATTTAAAGAAAGCTTTCGACACAGTTAATCACAAATTATTATTAGAAGCATTGGAGAGAATTGGTTTCAGAGGAAACGCGTACTCACTGATCGAAAGTTATTTGTCAAATCGCCCACAATCTGTGCAGATATCAGGATCATTTAGTAAAGAAATGTATATTAAGGGTGGTGTCCCACAAGGAACTGTCTTAGGTCCGCTGTTATTCAATATATATTTAAATGATATTTTCCAAATTAATTGTGTTGGCAAAATAACTAGTTTTGCAGATGATACTGCAATATTATATGAAGGCACTGACTGGTCTGATCTGAAAAATGTAATTGAAAATGATTTTATCAAAATTATTCGGTGGTTTAACAGTAGAAAATTAAGCATTAACTACTCTAAAACACATTTTTTACCATTTGGATCTTATGCTAGACATCTGCCAAATTACACAAATTTCTCCTTCAATATTAATGATCAAAAAATGCAAATTAATAGAGTGCCCAACATAAAATACCTTGGAGTGGTCTTGGATCCTCACTTACGATGGGACATCCATGTCAATTATATTTTAAAGAAAGTTAGATTTGTATCCTACAAAATTAAATACCTTTGGAATATATTAACAGAAAAATATCTTCGAACATTATACCATGCACTGATTGAGTCTCGTCTCACATATGGTATATTAGCATGGGGAGCTGCATGTTCCTCACATATCTATAATTTAGATGTTTTTCAAAAAAGTATTCTAAAAATGATATTTAAAAAACCGAAACTTTATCCCACTGAAAAATTATACGCAGATGTTCGAATGTATGATATAAGACAGCTTTATTTCTTTCTTACACAGTATCACTCACTACCATACATTTGTAAACACCGCCCAAAAAATTAAACATAATCATTATACCAGGTACAAAATTCGTGGCACAGTAGTTCCTCAACCGCATAAATCTATAATGCAGCGATCATATCTCTATGTAGCGCCTAAATTTTATGAAATTATACCTAAAGACTTAAAAGATTTACGTTTCGGAAATTATTTCAAAAGAAATTTAAAAAAGTGGCTACATTCTATATCTAGGACTGAAATTCATAAACTCATAAATACGACATCAACTAAATACATAATCTACTGTAGCTAATTTTTGTCCTTTTTTGTCATTTGCATTCTACAGTTTCAACTTAAATTTATTGGTCCATGTACAGGCGATGTCTTCTATTGGGC